GGGCAGCCACCAGCACCTCAAGACCCAGGCCTCAGGTTCCTCTTGAGGGTGGGTGGACAGTGGTCCCCGGGGAGGCTGGGGTCACCGAGAGTTCAGAGTGGGGCCAGGGTAGGGCTACTGACAGCCTAAAAGTCGTAGTTGGTCCTTCTACAAACACCAGGCAGGAGATAAGGGCAGGCAGGGCGCCACCTCCACGCCAATTGCCAACTCTCAACAAATATTTATTAAGCGGGGCTTTAGGAGCTAGGCGGCCTGGGGCCAGAGCCCAGCTGAGGGAACCATGTTCTGCCTGGGGGGTGGGTGGAGGGGTGGACATTCACCTCCTTTCCTGGCTATCACATGGGTGCCAATCTCACTCCCGGGGTGGTCCTGCATGTGACATGTATGGACATGCCAGCAGGCACGGAAAACCCTGCCTGGCTCTGCCAGTCTCCTTTTCCTACCCACTCCCCTCGAGGGGACACTTAGGTCTGTTTTAAAGTGGGCTGCCTACCTGGTGGCATTTAGGGAGCCCTGGTGGTCTAGTGGTTACACATCAGGCTGCGATCCCTAAGACCCACAGTTCGAAACCACCGGCCACTCTGTGCAAAAAACATGGGAGTCTCTACTCCCATAAGGACTTCCAGGCTTGGAAACCCACAGGGGCAGTTCTATTCTACCCTGTCTCACAGGAGCCCGATGAGTCGGCATCGACTCAGTGGTAGTGAGGGTGTTTGCTTTGGGTGGCCCACTGAGTCACTAACTAACTGTAAGGTCAGTAGTTAACCTATCATCGGCTCTGAGAGAGAAAGAGGGGGCTGTCTGCTCCCATAAAGACTGACAGCCTTGGAAACCCACAGGGGCAGTTCTACGCTGCGTGATAGGGTTGCTATCAGTGGGAATGGGCTGGGTTGGTTCCGTATCCGCAGCGCAGCAATGGGGACAGTCACAATCTTGTGCGCCTGCACCTCTAACTAGTTCCTTTTTCCTTCTCCCAGCCTGCTCTCACCAAATGGCTCCGCCCACTGCCACGCCCCCAACCCCTGGGAACCTAGGATCCAGCTTCCAGTCTCTGGGCCAATTTCGGGATCTTTCCCACCAAGACAATGGGGCCACATTCCCTCAGCAGGGTGCCTTTGGGGCAGTAGGGCTTCCTAAGCTGTGGTTCCTTTTCAAGGCTGAGTAATATTCTCGAGTCGCACATGCTCCGGTGGGGCTGTGCCCACCGTTTGGTTATTGTCCGACACATAAGGTGACCGAGCAGACGTTCCGCTTTTAGAGGGACAGTCTCGATTTAACAATTTTTCCGGGTCCCACGTCGTTTTTAAAAAGTCCCGATTTTTGGAAAGAATGCACAAGCTAGGGTATGCGGTTTTCAGCTGCCATGTGGCTATTTCGCCAGGATATTAGTTTTATCAATGGTGTCCTGCTTTTGTCCCACTTTACCAATGTTAAAATCTGGTCACCTTCAGCCAGCATTGACTGGGGCAAGTGCCAGGTGCAATTCTTTGGGGGTATGGACGCCCTCGTGTTTATGGCGGTTATTCCTGGGAGCTATCTAGGGGTACATTTGCAGGGAAAGTGGGTGACAACACTGCGGGGGGTGGGAGGTGGGGGGGTGGTGGCGGTGGCGGTGGCTCCAAAATGACCCCAGGCCCAAGACAGTGCCAGGCGGGGCCGGCACTGTGGGGGCTACCAGGACAGGGGCGCATCAGTATTGATTCATGTCACCACCATCCAATGTGGTAGGAGCTGTGGGAGCCATCGTGGGCGGGCCTGGTTGCTCCGCCTGCTGTAGGGGTTCCACAACAGCCTTAACGGAGCTACTGGGGACCAGAACTATTGAATCATTGATGGCACCAGGCACAAGAAGGCTGTGACCCTGCCCTCAGCACCCTTATCACATGCCAAAAGTCCCCTCAAACCGCCATGAGGCGTCTTCCGCCCACCCCCAACACTGAATAAGCTGCGGCTGGCCACCAAGCAAGAGGTCGGGTCCACAGCCCTGAGTTCAAGTCCGACCCTACCTCTAGAAAGTGCTTTGTGTGGCCTGCAAATATTAACAAGCCGAGGACAAAGTTATAGTCCTGGTAAGCCCGGCACTGTGTTCAGGGCCGCACCAGGGGTCAGCAGACCTGACCTGTACGGCCAGAGACTAATAACTTCACAGTCTCATTCACTTCTGCAGCTGTCGGGAGGGGCGGTCATAGACAGTGCCCATTTCACGGTTGGGGAAAATCGAGGCTAGGAGTACAGAAGTCACCGGTCCATTGTCTCAGCCAGGCAGTGGTAGAGCAGGCCTGGCCCTCCAGCCCACGCTGGCTCCCTGCAGGAACTCTGGCCCGCCTGTCTCTCACCTGTCAGACAGGAGGAACCAGTGTCCCATGCCCGAGATGCCAGCGCCTAATGGGGAACTGCCCTGGGGACAACGACAACGCTGGGCAGGCAGGTTCTGGGCCCTGCTCCCTCTGTGGTGACAGAGATGGGATCTGACTACTGGGACAGAGAGGCTTGGGCTGTGCTGGTCAAGCACAGTGGGGACTATGGTCATCTTCATGTCCCAGCGCCACACTTCCTAACTGGGCAGGTGCTCTGCCCCTCCAGCCCTCCCCCTCCTCACCTGTGGAATGGGAAGGACAGGGTGGCTATACCCCTGGGTGCCGGTGAGATCTACAGGAGAACTTCCATCGGACACTGACCATAGGGCCTTGACTGTTCCCACCACGAGGGAGGCCCAGGAGGCCACATGAAGTCTGTCTCTGCATGTCACAGCAAAACATACAGTGTCAAACTGTGTCCGCCTGTGTGTAAACACCCCAAAGACAGATGGGGGAGGGCTGGAAGTTCAACTGAACTCTCCTAGTGCCTGGCCTACCCTGGGTCCACCTTTCCTGCCCCTTTCCCCCAGAGGGCACAGCCCCACCTGGACAGATTCCCCTCATGGCTTTGAATTCCCTTCTCCCTGCTGAGGCTCTGGAATAAATAGGAAGCCGGGCACCTGGGGAGCCAGTGTGTACCAGCAGCCACGCGATGGCAGGTGAAGTGGGTGTCAATTCCAAACACCTGTGCTTCTGAAGATTCACGATGGCCTCCAAATTTCCCGGGCACCTGGGAGGCTCCTGGGGGAGTCTCTGGCTACAGAGAGGACACCTGCCCCTGCCTCCCACAGCTTGGGCCCAGTGGGGAGGCAAACTGGGTGTCTGCTACAGCAGGAGTCAAAAGCTCCCCCCAACCCCATGTCTGGTTTCTTGCAGGGGGGGGGGCGCGGGACACCCTGATTCATTCAACCTCACTCCTTCCTGGAGGGGTGCTGAAACGTTGGAAGGCAACGGGGAATTCAGGGTTCTAATTTATATTGTGAGCAGTGCAAGGAAGCATCAGGCAGCACACACCTCAGAGCCTGCTGGGGCATCCTCTTCCTACAAAAAATGGTGTTCCCTGACACCGGACATGAAGTAAGAGCCTCCGGGGACCAGGAAGGACTGGGGACCCCAGGCAGCCACAAAGAGTGAATGCTCCTGTAATCTCGGGGGCACACCAATACCAAGCTTTTCCTACTTTTTTTTTTTTTAATGAGTGGGTTGGACTGCCGGTTGAGTCGGCCTGCCATTATACAAGTCATTCCATTAACTGGACGAAAGCCACCGCCCTGGCTGAGGGCAGCAGCGACCAGCGCCAACCCGGCTGGGTCCTGTCCAGGCCACTGCCCTGCCCCCAAACCCCAGCTACGCCCGAGGGCTCCCGGGCAGCTGGGTGCCTCCGCCAAGTTGACAGGGTCTTCTGAACAGAGCGAGGGGGCAGAAATACAAAGCCCCTGGGCCAGCCACGTGCACTCTACAGCGGCACCACAATTCAGAAAGAAAACCCCCGGAGGGCAGCTGCCGCCACGGCCGCCGCGGAATATGAAAAGCCTCAAAGGAGAGGGGCAGGGACATCCATCCCCTCAGCACCCCCAGACCCAGACCCCCAGCTTCAGCCCCAACTGTGTGTCAAAGGCCGGAAAAGGGAGGGGGGAGTTGTGTGTGTGTGTGCGCGCGCGCGCGTGTACACTCACCCAGGAAGGGAGGGAAGCAAATAAAAACCTAGCTCATTCCTAGAGTCGGGCACAGGGACAACGGCCTCCCTGACCCGCGCGTCACGTGGGCCCACCTGGGGCGGCCGCGCCCGCCGGGTGACTGACTCCGCGACCCCAGGGGCCACGAAGGAAGGCGTGACAGCCTGGCTGGGGTGTGAGAGGCAGGGATCCCGAGTGCCCCTCTCCCTCGGCAGGGATCCTAGGGTCTCTACCGCACGCTTTGTAAAGGTTGGAAGTCCCAGCCGGGTAAACTCAGAAAAGGCTCTAGCAATGTGTTGCTGCCCCTTCCCCTGCCCCCAACACACGTACACACCCACACCCAACCCCTTTTGGCGGCTAGCGCGCCTTGCCCGAAACAGAAAGTTACAGGGCGGGCGGCTTGTCAGCGCGCAGGAGGTTAGGGAAACAGGAAGCCTCGCCAAATACCCTCCCGAGCTTCCCCGTCCCCTCCCCCGACCTCGGCAGGAACAAAACCTTCCAGGGAATCCCGACCGGGAAGGGGGGCGGGCCGAGCCCGCGCCAGGAGGTTGGCTGCAGGCAGGGGGAGAGGAGCCCCAGGACTGGGGGGTGGAGGGGTGCCTGTGTCAGCCGGATTCCCAGAAGGGCCCTCTGATGAGGGACAGCTCCTGAGGGCCACTGCTCAGTGCGTTTTGGGCAGAATCACACAAGGTGGCCAACCGAATGGCGCCGACATGGGGATATGGGGCAACTCAAGGTTGCGAACATAGACAGGAGTTCTACGGGCAGCGTTTTCTGAGGGCCCACACTCTAG